ATTACTATAAGAACTCATAACTTTTCTATCCATTTTCTTTTTATTTCTTTGTATAACTAAATCACAATAAAACAAAGCTTGAGCTGAAAGAACTTGAACTCTATTAATATAAGCCACATAGAAGATGAATGCAGTAAAGGGAATTGATTTAGAACATGATTGCCACTTCACTTTCATGAAAAGGCTTGAAGATGTCATTTTTTAGGTTGTAAGCTTAGACTAATCATAGTCACAGCCACTTTAAATGGAAACCATTGCTTAAATCGAAGCTTGCCTTGATGAAATCTTCAATAATAACTTTCACCCTATTGATAATACCTCTTATGCAAAGGTAACCTTATTTCAATTTGGAAATTAAACTTCTTTTTATATATATATTTTTTATTTTTTTATGGTCATGGTTGGTTTTTTATATGATTTACAAAGCTAGTGGAAGATTGAACAAGAATGAAGTTGTTCAAATGAAATAGCTTTATTGACATATATTAAGTGAAAGTAACATACTCTTCCATGGAGTCGTGACTCTCTTCTTTCTTACCATCTTAGACGGCACAAAACTAAAGGTGAAATCTTTATAGCAGATGATGGTTGCTACTTAATTCCAAATGTTAAATCATAGCCATAAATGTTATATATTGACTTAAATTCTAATTGAAAATCAATTTGGATTTTGATAAAAATTTTATTGATTAGAGAATTACTTAGTAATTAATTTTATTTAAGGATAAATATATTTAATGGTAAGAGTTCGTAGAAAATAGAAATTTTTAATAATCAAGTAATAGGCCTCTATAAATAGGTGATGCCATTTATTTCATGAATTATAAATAAGTAGGCAAGTGAGAGAAAATAGGAAAGAAGTAAGAAGAAAAGATAAGCGTCTTTGTTCTTGTAATCTTTCAAGTTTTTCTTTCTTATATTGCTATAGGGTTTGTTGTATATCTATCTTAGGATAGTAAGAAACATAAAGGGCCTTCAAGTGAGTAGTAATTCTATGTGATAGTAATACTTTTCATATAGTGGATTTTGTCTCTATTGACCCTGGTTTTTCTCTAATTTTAAAGTTTTCCACAAAAAATTTTATGTTTTGTTATTTTATATATTCTCTGTTGTTGTTTGATTTTTTTGAGGTAGATCTAGGTGATATGTAATTAGATACTATTTAAGTATATGGTACTATTCATGTATATGAAAAGGATGGTGGTTCTGCATGCGAATTTCTCACCAACAAATTGGTGAAGTTTGTAGTGCTATCAAATTCATAACAAGGTATATCAAAGTCGAAGGTTTTTATGGTTCATTTGGAGTTTTTGTGTGATTATTTATCAAGCTCAATGCAATGGGCATATAATGTCATCAATAAAGTTTGATATTAAGATGGGAGAATTGATTTGTATAACACAAGTGAAAGATAAATCAACCACTCTTAACAAAGCTTGCTTGAGGTGTGGCACATTTAAAAGAAAATTTTCAGGTGGAAATAGTCTAGCTAATAGCTTTGTTAGTCTTAAATTGATTTGTATTTTGAAAAAACAAAACATTAAACTAAATAAGTTTGATTAAAATTTTGATAAAGATTTATTTAGTACATGTGTTTTTAAAGTGATATTTGCAATGAAAAACATTCTGAAAAGAAGTTTTGGATTTTGAAATAGGTTTATTTAGTACATGATTCTTATGACATATTATTTTTTATACTAAATAAACATTATATCTTTCAAATTTTTATTTGATTTGAAAATTATTTTTAAGATTAAACAAAACTTTATTTATGTTTGTGTATTTATCAAAGCAATACAACTTTTTAAACATTATTTATTTGAACTTAAATGAAAGTTTACAAAAATTCAATTTTTTTTTAAAGTAAAATTGTTTATCTTAGACTCTATATATATTTGATGATATTGGTATTGAGAAATGAATTAACTAAAAAAAGTTATGTTGCAAGAATAAGGTTTTTACAATATTGATTTCAATTTATTTTTTGTATTGTTTAATTATTTTTTTAATATTCAAATTATATATGGTTGAAATATTTTTTGAGTTACTTACTAATGGATATAAAAAAAATTCAAATATAAATTTTCTAAGTAAATATATTTCATTTTTATTTAAAAACTATGCAAGTTGTCTAAAATCTGCATAGAGTAGTTTTGAAAATTCACTTTTTTTTTAACATTGATTTAGATGTTGAATTTTATGTAGATGAAAATCTTTTTAAGTTTAGTTTTTAAATTTTCAAATGGATCATGATTTGAAGTTGTATAACTCATGATATGGTCAATTTAATAAATAGAGTGCAAAAATGCCAAAACATCCTCAAATGCTGCCTAACATAAAGGATCAATCTTTTATAAAAAAAAGTTTCAATCACCTAGCCTGCAATAGTCAAAATTTGAATGAAATTCATGAGAAGATCAATCATTTATGGATAGGATCGATTCACTAGCCCTTGATAGCCTTCAATAACTATTTTTTCTAAAGAAATAATAGCTTTTTTTTTTATCAACTCAATCCTAATTGCTCCAAACATATTTCATTTATAAAAGAGACTCCTCTAACACCATTAAAGCTAAAATACCACCTCCAAAAAAGCATTCATTCATTTTCCTCAAGCAATTCAAGAAAAAGCTAATGTTTAGAGCTTAAATTCTTTATCCTTATATTCAATATTTGTTTATATCCATTTAGTATTTTGTTGTACTTTATATGGCAAACATTCAACCTTTGAAAGGTGTTAGTTGTTTGCAAAATAATTTGTAATACCTAAGAGCTTGATTGTAATCAAGAGGTAAGGTACCCTCTTAAATGATTGTGTGAGTTTTTGTAATAACTCGATTTGAGAATTTAGGAGTTGTTACCTAAACTTAGAAAGATAGAGATTTAGATGTTGCTACCTTAGCTTAAAAAAGTAAGGAATTAGAGGTTATATCTTAGTCTAAAAAGGTAAAGATTGTACAGGTTATACCTTAGGCTTGAAACGTCGTTTGTACAATTTTTAAGAATTAGTGGATTGGGATTTTTAGCTACAAAAGTTAAGAGAAAGGATGTAAGTGCTTTTAGAAAAAGATCAAGCCTCTATAAATCTTTACATTTGATTTCTCTACCTTACTCTTTTTATTTTATTGTTATTTATATGTGTTTTAATTTTCTTAATTATTATTAATTTCATCAAATTTCTATCAAAGATTTTATTGTTTTAAATTTTTTATTCAAGATTAATAAAATTGATTTTTTGAAAACAATTCAATTCACCTACTTTTATATTGTTATCTACACTTAATTTAACAAACTTCAAAAGTAGCAGGCAATGTATTTTTTGAAGACATGTACTTATAACATGTCGCTAGCTGTCATTATAGAGGATGTGTTACTGTTAGCTTGTCCATAAATTTACACATGGGCATTGGTTTGACTTTGATGCAAGGTGTGTGCTGAAATATTGTTGATGGTTGAAGAACTCTCAGAAAAAGCCAAACATGGGAGTTGCACCATAATCAACAAGGTTGCTCGACATAAGCCAAAATGAAATTTTGAAATTTGTGAATTTTAAGTGTATAGTTTTGTGGTGAAGTATGTTAATTCTCTTATTTGAGAATTGTAACTAGAAGACACAGTTGAGATAATATGCATTGAAGAAATCTTGAGGTTAGTCTTGTGAATTTGTATGTGAAGATTTATATAATATTAACTCAAATTTTAATTGAAATTAATTTGAATTTTAGTAAAATTTTATTGACTAGCGAATTACTTAGTGATTAAATTTATTTAAAAATAAATATACTTAATGGTAAGAACTCTTAATAAATTTTAATTCTTGATGATTAAGTAATGGATCTCTATTAATAGGTAATGCCATTTGTTTAATAAATTATAAGTAAGTATGCAAGTGAGAAAAAAATAAGAGAGACAAATAAGAGAAAATAGGATCGATAAAGAAGAACAAAAGAAAAAGAAATGTATTTTTATAATTTCTTAGAGCGTTTTTTTTTTTTTTTTGGCTTTTTATATGGTCTATTGTGTATCTAACGTAAGATAGTAAACAAAAAGAAAATAAAATTATAGGTAAGTTGTAATTTTATGTGATTGTAATAATTTTTGACATTATGGATATTGTCTTTCATGGCTCATAGGTTTTTTTTTATTTATTTATTTAAAGTTTTTCATTTAAAATATTTTGTGTTGCTTTTTTGTTGCTGTTTGAACTTTTTGTAAAAGTAGATTCGGATAATGTGAAATTTCACACTATTCAAATATACCGCATTATTCGCATATATATATTTATATATATATATATATATATATATAGATAGATAGAATGGTGGTTTTGCATATGAATTTTTCGGCAACAAAATAATGAATTTAGCAATGCTGTCAAATTCCCAAAATAATAAAGATGTTGATGAAATGCACTGGAACAAGGCTAAGTTAGTATTGTACAGTGACATGTTGGTGATCGGTGATGCGCCGGAAACTCAATCTCGTCACCTTGCTAAACAGGGTGGTGAGAAGTGAAGAAATGACTTCGTTGGTGTGGACCTGGTTAATTTTGGGCCATCCAATCTCAAAAACAACAGCATCTGAGATAGAGGTAGGAACCCGAAGCTGGCCCAATGAACTAGCCTAGTCCAATCATCGTTCGCCCATACTACAAAAAGATTTTCTACACCCATTTTCTCCAAGTCGATCCATTTTCCCAATCAATATCCGCCACGTCATCCATTTTTAATTGGATCCCTTACAAGCCAAATCGACTGGGAAAAAATTTACTGTGAGTGTTTCCTTTGCTCTCCTTGGATTATTACCATTACTGAAGTTAGTAATTAATATTTAATTATTTAATCAAAACTTTTATTTCTCGTTTATTTTTCTAATATATTAAATTTAATATTAGACCACAGGTTATCCTCCGTCCATCTCTCTCTCTTCTTCGCTGCTTTTCGAAACAAAAAAAGAAAGGGTAAATTCCTGTTCTTTTAATTTTTAATTTTGCTTTTTTTAGATCTTAATTTCCTTTCACTTCATTATAATTTTCTTCAATTAAGCTCTTTAAACTAATCGCATCGAATTCAGTTCCACTCTCCTTCGATCCGTTCCTCGGACTGATTTACATTTTTAAGTTGTTCAATTTTTCTTTCTGTTTACTTTTCTTATTTGTGCTTAATTTTGATCGATTTTTAATATCAGAAGTGTCTACTATTTTCTTTTTAGTTATATTTTGTAAGGAATGTTACTTTCGGCACTTCGTTTCTGTTTGGGCACTGAGAAAATAAAGGAAAATAAATAAAAAAGAATTTTAATGTTTAATTCTAATTGTGTTTGAACCATTTCTGATCATTGAAGTTTCATGATCTGTGGCTTAGCTCATTAGTTAGTTAAGCCAAATAGAGTTTCACTCTTTAAATGGAAACAAGGTTTTCATTTTTATGAATTTAGAATGACGTGATTAGGACATATTGGTAGATAATGCATTCCAGATACTGATTACGATTAACAGTGTGTTTAGAATAAATAAGATTAATGGAATACATTTCATTGAATATATTTCAAGTGTAGTAAATTATGAAATTGAAATGATTTGAAAAATAGTGGAATTCATTCGTTCTAAATAAATATGTATTAGGGAATATTTTGTTGGCAAAGGTTCAGTTTGTAATTTTGTTTGTTAAGATGCCGCTTGATTATCACTTCTACTACTTAATTTTGATTCCAGCAATAAAAAAGAAGCTTGTTTAGATACAAATGGAAAAATTATTTTTGAAGAATTAAAAATGAAAAATGTAACATGTAACATGTATTGTGTATAGAACTTTGTGTTATAATTGCTGTTATATTTAGTCATTTAATAATTTTTAATCAATTGTAATTTTGCTTTCTACTGTTTGCTTTTGCTTTTATTATAATTGCTGTTATATTTAGTCATTTAATAATTTTTAATCAAAGTAATTTTGCTTTCTACTGTTTGCTTTTGCTGTAAAACTCAAAGAAAATAGTAAAAAGGGAGTATCAAAAACAACAATCTAACAACTTCCTGTATTGTTAACTAATTTTCAAGCTTCTGAATTATTTTGCTAGTGTGTTTGAGAGAACAGAGCTTGACATGTTTAACTAATTTTCAAGCTTCTAGAATTTTTTTTTTAGAGTGGTTGAGAGTGAAAATTTTTGTCTTCCTTTTTTTAGTTATTTATCTATGTTTTACATTTCCTGCCCAGCTTTGAATTTTCTGTCTTGTTGTGGCTTTCTTTCTTGACAGAACTACAAAATGGGTGTGGCAGAAAACAATCACGATATGGAGGGAACACTAGAGATTGGCATGGGTAAACTGTCTTGCTTTATACTAGCTGCATGATCATTATAAGCAACTTTGTTTGCTTATGTTCAAATGGATTTATGTTTTAGCTATAAAGTGAACGCTCTGTCTAATCATGAGGCTAAATTGTTGATAAGATTCTAGTTGAACTGCCACAAGCATTGCAACGAGCAGGATTGGTGGCATGAAAGAAATGGTAAAGTTCAAAGAATAGTTATTTTACTTTTCTTGAGTTGATTGCAGAGTATAGAACTGTTTCCGGAGTTGCTGGGCCGTTAGTAATCCTCGATAAAGTGAAGGCAAGTTCTGTTTTTCTCACTCATTGTCTAGTGTCATTCTCAAGCTTTTTTAATTTTGATTTCAACTTTTCATTATTTGAGGGTTCATGCTTTCTCTAGGGACCCAAATATCAAGAAATTGTTAATATTCGTTTAGGGGATGGAACTACCAGACGTGGTCAAGTCCTTGAAGTTGATGGAGAAAAAGCTGTTGTTCAGGTAATTTCTGTCTTAAACTCTCTAGCATTCCTCTGTAACTATGAGTTCCTATTATGTGCACTTTTACAGCCAAAATTAATAATGTCAACTAGTTCACCATGCAATGGGCTTATATTTATGGTGAGAGTTGTTATACCTTAGTCTGGTGCTGCAATTTCACTAACAGTGGAGGCATCTATTCCTTGTATGCTTTAATTATAACTCACTTGGGCCAGGTTTTTGAAGGAACATCTGGTATTGACAATAAATATACAACCGTGCAATTTACAGGAGAGGTATGTAACCTCCTCCTTTCCTTTTTTATGTTTAATCTTATTTTTGCATCTCTAAGTTTGAATAGCTTACCTTAAACACAGCTGAAAAATAATTGAAATAGCTGCTTTTTCTGTCTGGAAAATTTTAATTAAGATAACTGGTTTGCATCTTTTGCAAGATTGTATGTGTTTAGACATTGCAAGGCATGCTGACACATTTTAGTTGTTTCTTAAATCTTGAGGTATCTGGTTCTGTAATAGACTATGGGGGAAAATAAGTCTTGTAATTACTAGACCTTGTAGATATATCATGTTGTGCTGTGAAGCCAAGATTCTCTTATGGCATTATACCGGCTGTTATTGTTGTAATACTTTATCTTCTAAGTTTTATGTTATCAGCCCTGTATTGGTCTCTCAAATCAAATTAATGTTTGCAATTATCTTTAAATTACTGATTTAGTATATAGTTAGATTAGTTATTAATATTTCTGCCTACCACCATGGTTTGCAACCTTTAAAAAGGATGTAATACAAAGCACGTCATATCCATTAGAGAGTAATTTTCACTTGCTTTATTAAGGTTAATAGCTAACAGTCTATTACTTGTTTGGGTTTCTTGGGAATGTTTTGTTTTTCCACCTCCAGCCTTTTTGCAAGGTTAAAGTTTATGCAATCAGGCCTTTGGAGTAGGCTTGTTTATATGTTTAGTGGTTTTTTGGACATAACAGTCATCAGGCATTGGCAGCTTATACAAACCATATATAAGCTTACTTGTTCCCATGCCCATAGAGGAACAAAAACAAGGCCCTTAGTATCATGTTTTGTATGATTTAGTTACCATGCCATCGTAGTGGTTTCACTAGGTTTTTGTTCGGTTTGTAAATTTGGAATATGCTTAAATGATAAACAAGTGTATTGAGGGAAGCACTTGTAAGAAATGGGAAAAAATAAAGGAAAAGAGCAACCGAGTTTTGCAGTGTCTTTAAAATTAGTTTTAGTATTTCTGTTTGCTACTTCCTGATTCTTTTCAATCATTTATTGTGTCTAACTTTTGTAATAATCAGTAGGAAGCATGGTAGCTAGGTAGAAGAAAACTGGGAAGGCCTGTTTTCAGTGCATTTAGAAAATTATTCCATTTTTACCCTTGTACATTGCTGTACTGTTTTGAACTCATTTGCGTGTGTTCCTTGTTCTGACTCTATTTTGTAGGTGTTAAAAACTCCTGTCTCCTTGGATATGCTTGGGCGCATTTTCAATGGCTCTGGCAAGCCAATAGATAATGGTCCACCTATCTTGCCTGAGGCATATTTGGATATCTCTGGTAGGCAGTGTTGTGAAATGAATAATATTGGAACAGTATAAGTTGCTTGCAATCAGCAGTTTGTTAGTTGCTGCATTACTTATCCTTCAATCTATTACTTTGTAGGGAGTTCAATTAATCCTAGTGAGAGAACTTATCCTGAAGAAATGATACAGACAGGGATTTCAACAATTGATGTCATGAATTCAATTGCTAGAGGGCAAAAAATCCCTCTCTTTTCTGCTGCTGGTCTTCCCCATAACGAAATTGCTGCTCAGATTTGTCGTCAGGCTGGTTTGGTGAAACGATTGGAGAAGTCTGGAGATCTGCTTGAGGTAAAGTTCAAGTACTAATATTGATTGGCTAGTAATAATTTGACATCCATGATGGTTTAGATAAGTTAACGAGCTAATGGTACTATATGCATGGATTATATCTCTTTCTAAAACATAGCCTGATATAAATTTCTGCATTTACTTTATTACTATGTTCAAATTGGACTCTTTGATGCTTGCTCAGTGCAATTTAATGGAAGCAATGAAATTTGTCATGGTCGCTGATAAATTATAAATTTATGATTAAGTTTTCTTTTAAGTGGCATTTTAATTTTCTAATATGTCATAACTAGTTGTTTGTCCCTTTGGAGTGAACTCAAAATTGAAGATACATAAAAAATTAACATCTTGCACTTTGTGTTAGTTGTTATCAGTTACCGCTAATATTTCTCACTACTGAAAGGATGAGTTATTTGTCCTAGATATGGCTGTTTATCTTTCTACCTTTCTTACTTTCTTTTTGATTGTTTTGGGCCCTTACTGCTAGGTTCATAGAAAGCTGATTGTTTCACTCACCTGATTCAGGATGGCGAAGAAGATAATTTTGCAATTGTGTTCGCAGCTATGGGTGTAAACATGGAGACTGCACAGTTTTTCAAACGTGACTTTGAGGAAAATGGCTCAATGGAGAGAGTGACCCTTTTCCTAAACCTGGTATGTTTCAATTTGAGATACAAAGGCTTTATTCATTTATTTGTTTTAAATGAGAAAGGTGCATGGGTGGGGAGGTTGCAGCTATTGTAAAAAATTTATTTATAGCTGGAAATTAACTTCTGCTATGTTCTCTACAGGCTAATGACCCCACAATTGAACGTATTATTACTCCTCGTATTGCTCTCACTACTGCAGAATACTTGGCATATGAATGTGGGAAGCATGTTCTTGTGATCCTTACAGACATGAGTTCTTATGCTGATGCTCTCCGTGAGGTAACAAAAAGCAACCATGTCTCATTTATTCAATCTCTCTGGTGTGCATGACTACTAGCTGTGGAAACCAGAGATCCATGAACCCTTATATGATATTCTTCACTATCGTTTATGATTTTGGTTGCTCTTACATTCTTGATATTTAATACATGCATTTCAGAAATGTATGCAGCTCCCAAAAGCTTTTATGTGAATGCTGGAAGTTTGTTGTCTTTAATCATCTTAAATTTATATGAGGTTTTATAGAAATTTATGCCCTTTGTGTGAGACAAACTATTATTGCTACTGCAGGTATCTGCTGCCCGAGAAGAAGTACCTGGAAGACGTGGATATCCTGGGTACATGTATACAGATTTGGCCACAATATACGAGCGTGCTGGACGAATTGAAGGGCGAAAGGGTTCTATCACGCAAATTCCAATTCTTACTATGCCAAATGATGGTAATGCATCTTTTAATTATATCAATTTTTTGCACCAACATGCTTGCTTTAATGTTAATTCTGATTCATGACTTCAATCAATTTATCTTTTTTGGCAGATATTACACATCCCACTCCGGATCTTACTGGATATATCACAGAGGGGCAAATATACATTGACAGGCAGCTCCATAATAGACAGGTAATGTCAAAACTAGCCTGTGCATGCTGTCAACTTGTGTATCTGGGAGGTATGCAGGTTCACAAATTATCATCATGATTCTCATCAATTTATGCATGAAATTTTATTTCTAATATTCTGTTTTCTATAGAAACTGTATCTTCTCCATCCTTGCATTGCTTTAGTAAATTTCTCAAGGTGACTTTGGGTTGAATGTGGCTCATTGTGGTTTGTGATTTGATGGCCTGTAACTTGGTTGCTTAAATGGTTGATTTCAGTGTCAACAATATTCTCTATATCTGTTTTCAAAGTGGGTTTTGGTGCATATGGTTTTCTTCTTCGTATGGATAACATTGTAGTTGATTTGCGTCAATTAACAAATTCTTCATAACATTTTAGTTGATTTGTGTCAATTAACAAACTCTTCGTCTTTCTGAATCGGACAGATATACCCACCAATCAATGTGCTTCCATCGCTGTCTCGTCTCATGAAGGTGAGGATAGCTGTCATTTGTTCAAACTCTTGATTGTGCTAGAGGATTGTATTGCGTCAGTCAAGATGAAAAGTATACAAATCGTGACTTACTATGAAGTGTTATCATTGTTCTCTCTCTCTCTCTCTCTCTCTCTCTCTATATATATATATATATATATATATATTTATATATATATATATATTTATGTATGTATATATTGGCAGAGTGCAATTGGTGAGGGGATGACACGAAGGGATCACGCGGATGTTTCTAACCAGGTCTGATTGCATGGTTATAGTGGCATAATTTCAATCCTCTATTTGATGTAAAGGCATCTAACTTTTGCTTTTGTTTGTCAATCGTTTTAACTTTCAGCTGTATGCAAATTATGCTATTGGGAAGGATGTGCAGGCAATGAAAGCTGTGGTTGGAGAGGAAGCACTTTCTTCCGAGGATCTGGTTACCCTCTTTCCCATTTCCTTATCAATTTTCTTGCACCATTTTTTTTTTTGGGTCAAGTAATTTCTTAAAAAGAACCTAATTTGATGTCCCTGAAAGTAACAGCTATACTTGGAGTTCTTGGATAAATTTGAAAGGAAATTTGTCACCCAAGGAGCATATGACACCCGCAATATCTTTCAGTCACTCGATTTGGCATGGATGCTTCTTCGCATATTTCCTCGTGAACTTCTCCACCGTATACCAGCAAAAACTCTTGACCAATACTACAATCGAGATGCAGCTAATTGAAGGAGACAAAAACTCATGCTCCCTCTTGGTCGTCTTTGCGTGTTGTTTATTTGCCTCTTTCATTCGTAAGTTGCCATCTTCCACTGTTCAAATAATAATGGTTGAATTCTAGCTAGGGCTCCCCATGAAAGCCATATGGGTAGCAAACAAGAGATAAAAATATTCAGCGACTCTTTGTGTTGGTTTTACTTTTCCTCTAGATATAATTTTTTGTGTTGCGTGTTCTATCTTCCTATTAATTTTGAAATCCAGTTGGTTTGGATTGTTGTATCGGTGAGGAAATACAGACCAAGGCCAGTGCTTCCAAACTGCTTTTAGCTGTTTTGCTTTTCTTTTATTTTCTTTGTATAGAATTTGTTTAGTATGTGATGATAAAAGCATTTGAGACAACCGACGAGTTCTATTATGTTGAACAAAATCGTTGAAAAAATTAAAGAAGATTGGAAGGTAAAGTGTAAAAATATCAGAAGTTTACCACCTTCAATTGGTCGATGTTCCATGGAGTTCCTTACGTAAAATGAGAATTTCATTAATTTATAAGGAAAAAAGTTTTGAAAAAAGAAAAAAAAAAAAAAACAAACCCAACATGCTATGGTCGGGACATCTTTGGTATGTTCCAATTTTGATACAACCTCTAGCTAGATGCTAATTTTCAAGCATCCACGCTAATTTAACATTTTGGTTAAATTTTAATTAACACTTTTTAAGTATTTGTTTACACACAATATAAGTTATGTAGCACACAATGTAAGCTAAGTAGTCTATCAGAATGTTGGAGGTTTTTTTTTATATCAGTAATCCAAATTTAAATCTCGATAATTTCAACCATCAAAAGAAAACAATCTAAAACTAATTTAACATTTTGGTTAAATTTCAATTCACATTTTTAACTAACTATTTTTATTTACAATGAAATTTGGTGAATTTGAAGTCAAATAATAATTTAAAAAAAATGTGAAGTACAATTTTTGAAATTTGTTGGGTATAAGTTTTGATGAGTTATTTTATTAATAAAAAATATTTTTTAAATTTAATTTTAAAAAATATATTAAAATTTTAAATATATTATTATTTTATTAATAAAATAATACTTAAATTGACTAACAAAATTATGTCTGAATTGGCTTTTAAAAAGGACAATATGACATATCTAACAATATATTATTTTTATACGCATGTTGCTATGAGTGACGTGGACTTTTAAAGATTGTTTTTTACTTTTTTTATGGTTATTTATTCTTGTGATGAAAAGAGTTTTTCTTTTAACCTATAAACAATGAATTAACTTTTAACATTCTGAAGATAACTACCGGCAACATTTTTTATATATTTATATCAGAAAATATGTATGATTCCTTGGTTTCCTTTTCTTCTTAATGTTTTTTTAATTTTTGAAAGCAAAATTATGATAAATCTCCTAAGTCCAAAAAAATCTTTGCAAAATTTCTACCTTCCTTCTCCCTCATTTCCTTAACAAAATTTATTGGCTTCTTATCATTCCTTTCAAAAATAAACCCAAAGATATTCGAAAACAATTGAAATAAGGATTATTAGCTCAAATGATTGAATAAACCAAGAAAGGGGTGCATTGATTAATTATAAATTTTAATAAATTGATTGCCAATTAACACAAAATTCACAAAAAAATATTTTTAGGCAAATAAACACAATATATAAGCACAATAGTAATAATCTTGACAAATAAAGAGATAGAATTGGGGAATCAAATATTGAGATATTTAAAGGTTTAGTTCATCTTTAAAAAGCCTGCATCCTTTCCTTTAGCGTCACTTACCAAGGAGTTCAATTCACTATCAAGATGTTAAATGTTGCAACCTAACTCTTTCGAAGCTCTATATAATCAATAAGATCCCTTAACGATTATCGTCATCTTAAGCTCACAATCTCATAATACAAATCTTTAAAGTGTTTTTTGCAAACTTAAAAATCTCTCTAAAATTGGGTGTTTGCTAATTTGAAATACAAATGAATGTTATGAAATATATCAAAAGAAAAATGAGTACAAATTAAATTTTCTACTCTTTTCACACAACAAGATACTCTTTAATACTTAAAGAAAATGAAGGATGGAAGCAATCAATTTTCTTGGCTATTGATGGCTTGTAATTTGGTTGAAGACTACATTTTATATGTAGAAAGGAGAAAAGAGTCATTGGTTTCATTTAATGTTTGGAGCATCTGTAAATAACAAGAAAAATATGATCGTTCAAGCTTGTCAAAGTTGAACTGACTGATCTTGTCTTGAAAGTGATCAATTGGTTCTAGCTTAAAAGTGAAAACGTACAAGCTTTTAAAACAGACTTAATCAATCAAGTGGCATACTCGATCAATCCTATGGCACACCTAATCGATCCTCTATATTGAGTTATATTGAGTGATCAATCTTTTATGTTGGGTGATCGATCCATTTTGATGTTTTTGAAACAAATTTGGCTACTAAAAAAAAATTGATCAATCCATACAGACAAGATGGATCAAGTCTTGAAACCTTTGAACCAATCAATGGGATAGGACCAATTGGTTTTCATAAAAATTACATGAAAAAGCTTTTTAGTTGAATACATGTCGATCCTATGAAAAAGAGGATCATTGGGTGCTTAAAAGGATTGATTCCTCCAATGTAATTTTGGTCAAATTCATTTTTTTTAAACCATAGAAAAAGGATTGTTTTTGTTTCAAAATCATTTTTTACTAGATAAAAGGCTAGAAAAACATATAAATTAAGTTCAAATCAATTTAATTCAATTTTAGCAAATTTTTGTTTTGTCATTTCAAAATACTTATCAATTCAAGCCTAACAATCTCTTTCTTTTTGATATGACAAAACTAATAAATAAAATTTGCTTTAAAAATATTTTCCTTTTGAAAAATAAGCTCCCCTTGAATATAAGCATGATTAAAAAAATAAAGAGCCAATTTTCAACAAGCATTCAACAAGTATATAAGGAAAAAATCTATCCATTTCATTGTTAGCACAATAAACACTTATCAAGATATTAATAACATTAATAGGACCTAGACACTTTCAATAGCATATATTCATCAAAGCACAAGTCTCCATTTTTTGTTATTAGCACAAAACAATTCAAATTCAAGCTTTCCCCTTTGTTATTTAAAACTTTCCCCTTTAGAAACATATAAGCAATAAGCAAATATAACAAATGACAAATTTTCATAAGTCTACTCCTTTTTATCATAGTAAAAAAAAATCTCAACCATAAAAATTTGATAATCAATTTAAGACAACAAAATGATATAGCAATTCAATCTCAATACTATAACCCATCATAGCAACATAATACCATTTAATTCGAATAACTACCAATGGTAATATAACACACAATAAAATACAAACTTATGGAAATGAAATGCCTATGCCATTGATAAAATTATGCAAAGTGCCAATGTTAAAGCTACAATAAAATTTATCTTTAAGAAAATTAAGAACTTAAAAAGATAAAAATGTAGAAAAAATAGTTCGACTTGGCATCAAGAATAAGTCAAGATGAATGAGGTTAAGGTGGAAAGTGTTGAAAATGTTGCTCCATTGCAATCCTTGTTTGTCGAATCAACTATGACATTTTAAGTGAGTTTTATGTTTTCAAGCTTGGAATTCATATCCCCAACTAAAAAATTTAGACTATTCATTTGGGTTATGATTACTTGTAGAGCACTTTAAGTATCAAACTTTGAACTTCAAAGGCCTCTTGTGGAGCATCTTGAACTTTATGTTCTTTTCTTTGCTCAAATCTAATTTCATTCTTTCTAATCTACACACCATCATCATTTTGAATTATCCCATGCTATAAATAGTATGAACTTTAATAATGCTACATGAATCATTGGGTACAATCTTCTATCACTCTTTGTGTTGATACCTAATTTCTTCAATAAGTTGCTAATGGTTATCCCATAAATCAAAGTGTAGTCCTTATTTTGCATAACCATCATCATACCATTGGAAATAAAGTGACTAGATTAGGTTTTTCTTCATCTTAATCTTATACATCCACCAATAATCTTGTTTCTTAATGGTGAAGAGTATTGTGTTTCAAAAGGTGATAACACATAAGTCACTATAAAATGAAGCAATCTATCATGCATAAGCAACCTAGAAGTTTGAGTTGGAGCAATCCTCAAATTATCATTTTTAAAAGTATCTTAAACCAATCCAATCTATCACACCTAGTATTTGTATCTCCAACATCATCTAGCATGGATGCCTTAACCAATAATTGTTTGTTTACTATAATGTCTTTACCCATCACATATGTTCTAAACTTATCATCACAATGTCTATTTCCATATCCATTAACCTTAATACAATTAGCATTGCTATAGAATACCCTAACTAAATTTTCAAACACAATTCCTTACATGCTAAAATAATTAATCCAACCAAATGTTTCAAAAGAATGCAAGTATGAAAATTCAATAGATTGGAGAAATTCAAGATTGATTACCCTTTCTTGCTTGATTTCTCTATGAACAAAATGAGTCTCATATCTTTCATTTACTACAAGGTTCTCAAAATTTTGGTTGAAAAAAGATGAGCTAGAGGCTTTCTTTGAAGAATTTTTCCTTATGACAAGAGGAGTTCTAGTCTTAAGAGCCATGGAGGAATTTGAAATTTTGAATAAGAGAAAATAGATGGTTTTTTTTTTTTTATGGAATTGTTGATAAAATTGAAGAGTATTGGTGATAGGAAAGATTATATATTTGTGAAAGAAAAATGTGATGAGTGAAAGGGTGTTTTTGATTGAAAGCTTAAAAAAACATTAATTTTTTTTAGAGAGAGAAATAAAAAGGAAGATTTTTTAGTGATTTAAAGATATTTGAAGATGAATTTTGCAATAAATCAAGTGGGAAATATGAATTTTGTAAGAAATTTTAGTTGAAAGTGATTTTTTTGTTGAATTTATGGCTTGAAGACTTAAAGTTTGAGAGAAAATAAAATGAGAAAGAAGAGAGAATGAGAATTTATAGAATATGCTTATTACTCAATGGGAGAGTTTACGGAATATGTATACTATAAGCAAAAAAGAGGAGAACATTAACAAAAAGGGGCATAGCTTTAATGAATATGTGAATATTTGCTAATGAGTTTTTGCTATGACAAAAGAGAGTAATATTTTATGGATAATTTTGCTTGTGCTTTGATATACAAATATGTGTGTGTGTGTGTGCTTAATTGTTATATATTCTACAATTTTTCTTGTGCTTTGATATATAAATGTGTGTGTAATTAATTATTATATATGCTTTAACATATGTATGTTGAGTTGTGTTGAATCAGGTTGAGATACATTTGTTGAGAGAAAGAATTTATTAAGTTTTGTTATGCATTGTTTAAATGGGAGTTTTTCAAAATGATTTTTGAAAATGGCTTTCAAAACCCTAAAATGATTTTCATCAAGCAAATTTATC